AAAGCAATCACAGAATGTATTGAATTAGCGTAGGATTATGAATGAGTTGTAACTGCTTTCGGTGCCCTTTTTGCTTTCGTGTCGATGCCACGCATGCGAGCATCTTCAATCCCCCCCCCTCCTTCGCGCTCCCTCTCTCTTTTTGCCTTTCTATAACCGTTTTCCCATCTCTGCTTTGCCTCGCGCGCCTTTTCTCTTTCTTGATCATTTGAATCTTGGTTCATGTCGCGCTATCCTTCGTGTTTTTCTTCTTCCCGCTATAATCCTCGCGCCTAAATACTCTGTCGACTCCCTCCTCCTGCCCTCTAGCCAAGGAGACGCGCCATGTAAGAAGGAAATTCCTGATACACAACGATTCTGATTGGCTACAACTTGGATCCAAGGGATCGACATGGCTTTCGTCAGGCAAGTACCCCTGAACCTTCCCCTACCCCTCCCTATCTCGGTCCTAACCCTTCTTAGCGTCTATCTCCTTTTCTGCGACTATAAATTCCGCAAGCGCTCCCGAAAATCTCTCTCTCAACTCATCTGCCAGCTTCTAGGAAGCCGCGGCTAGAGGGTGTGTGTAAAGGGCGAGTCGAAGAATCTTGACGGGCTGACTTTAGCCTTGTCGGTTGTGCGTTGGATCGCCCGTCGGATCGTGGGATCCCGGCAAGACCGTGCAGAGGCTAAGTCGGCGGGGTGACGATCGCTATGGTGGATTAGCACGTGATGGTTGGGATCGTCAGTGCTCATGAGAGGTTCGGATCGGAAGTTGAGTGAATGCACGGCCTGGGGCCATGGTGAAATGTTATGGCAGAAACGAAAAACACCAGTTCCGCTCATAGAGTGAACGCGAGAAAGAGTCCTACGTTTATTCAGATTCACACAAGAATTCACATAATTTTTCGATACGAAGCTGAGAACATTCATGCGTAAAAAGGACATGTCGGGTCCCGCTTATTCCGGAATTCTTAACCGTCGAGCCAAATTCCTAGCATATTGCTAAAGCGCGCGTAATTCCCATGTATTTCCCGAATTGTAAAAAGATGAAATACATTAATTCATGGAAATACAAAAAGAGGCCTCGTCGGCCTGTTTGCAAGAATACCAAAATTCAAAAAAGAGAGGGGGGCGGGAGGAGGAAGATGGCGCAGGTCCGGAGGCTGGCACGTCACATACTTTTGGGGAAACTGGATGCCTCAGTGGGAGCAGGGGAGATAGAAATATTGTCCCTAGTTGGGGCTGAGGAGGAAAGGTCGTTATCAGGGCGGCTCTTTTCGGTGGAGGCAGCAAAGGGGAAGTAAGGGATGTAGTAGGGATGTAGTAGGGAAGTAGGGTGGGAGGGGATGAGGAAAATTTCTATATATGTTCATCTTCAACATCTTCATCATCGCTTCATCATCGTTCTTGATCTGCTCAGGATTCTACATAAGTTAGATCCAGGATTCTTGATCTGCTCAAGATTAACTTAGTTGTCATCAAATATAGTTGTGTATGTTTAGGTGTCTAGGTTAGTTGATGCCAGAACGACGTTGGTAGGTGCTGCGGCGTTGCCCTGTAACTTGTGTGTGCAGGGGTTTGGGACTTAGTAGAGAGATCTGGGGATTGCCGAGGGTGGAAGGCAAATCAGTAACTGCCCGTGGGTTACAGCCAGGTCGACACTGGTTAGACCTGGGGTGGGTCACGCTGCCCAGTAACCTAGCCAGATTGGGGGCGTGAGACCGGGCTCCGGCTTGGTTGGGAGGACAGCATAGCTAGGTAGGTTTGGAGTTGGCTGGGTTGATAAGGAGTGTGTTGATCTGGTCAGTTTTTCCTCAACCTACTTCCTAATCACAGTCAAATCGTTAACTCATCCTCATCACTATCAATTTTCATTGTTGTATTTTGATTATAAGGGTCGCTGGGCATTTGGCTATGCCCCCAAAAAATGAAAATCTCCAAAGATGGTGGTGTCGAAAGCGGGTTTGCGCACTCATTTTAATTCTCTAATTTATCTTTTTGTTTTTTCTTATTTTTGTTATTAACTTATTAAGTTATTACTAACTCATTAGTATTTATTTTCCATATTTTATTTTTATTTCAAATTTGGTAATGAATTTGGATGTAATGCTCACGCAAATGTTGTTTATTTTATTTTTCTGCATAACATACATTTTTTCCCCAGATGTTTTTGATTTTTTTGATTTTTTTTTGGGTCTACGTTCGGCACAACCGGCCGAACACATCCCCAAGGGGTCCCGTACATTCGGGCATTCGGGCCCGGGCGACGGGCCCGTCCCGAACGCCGGCCACCCTGTATATATATATATATGGTTGGGGCTGTCACTACGCAGCCATCCTGTGCCTCTAGTACCAGCGACGTGTCTGGAGTGTATTTTTTGGCTGTGACAGACCTTTCTTTGTTTCGTGGGTGTTTTGCTGGCTTGTGATGGGGTCTGAACCGACAGTCTATAAAGTTTTCAATCTGGTGTGGGTGAGTGATAGTCTGCTTTGATTTTTGTCACAGGTACCTTGAGGGCAGTGGTTGGTGCCCACCTCAGGGTATCAGTCGTCGGGCAGTCGTTGATGCTTAACCACAACCGGGGTTAAGGTGGATTATCACTTAATCAGTAAATGTAACGAGCGTGAGGCTGAGGGTGAGCCGAGGGAGAGGAGAGAGAGGGAGGGAGGGAGAGCACACACACACACTCACTCACTCGACACGACTAACTGGGACTGAGGATCGAACGCAGACACCGTGGCAAGGCACAAAGTCGAAGTCTTGGATTCTGAATGCCGAAACAGCAAGTCACACTAAGTACGAGTACAGCAGCGGAGAATTGGTACGAGACTGGCCCCCGTACCGTACGGGGAGCCGGTATAAGTATCGGTGACACGTACGGTACCAGGGGCATTTCTGCAAAGGCCCCGAGGGCAGAACTGAAAAATGCAGTATTTGAAAGTGGCGCCCAAATTGCAGCATGGCGCCAGTTGTCCAAAATCCTATGGTACCAAAGGGGGGGGTTGAAAAAAGGGTGCAAGGCCGAGAACGAGATGCAGCCAAAACAGCAAAAGATAAACCAGGGATCGAGCCCTGGCCAAGTCCGTAACACTATCCCCTCCCTCTAGAAGGCAACGTCCCGGCTGCCAAAAATCATGAAGCAATGCTGAAATCTGTGAAGGACGGGACGGGGCCGATCACTGGTTAACAAGTCGAAAGGGAAGAGGGGTATAATGTGGGTGGCATGGGCTGCGGGAGTAAGAGGGAACAGGGTTTGGTACCGGTGAACAGAGTTGTTCTACTGATGAACTAGGGGGGGTTGGAAGGAACAGGGTAGTCCTACAAATGAACTAAAGGGAAGATAGGGAGCAGGGTGGTCCTACTGATGAACTAAGGGGGAAACAGAGTTCAGGGAATAGGGAATTCGATTGATGTTCTACTGGGTAAGGGAAACTGTGTTCAGGAGAACAGGGTATTTCTATTGATGTTCTAGTGGGTACGGGGGACAATGGTTAGGGAAACAGGGATCTGCTAATGATGTTCTACAGGGTTGTCAAAGTCAGGAAAAATAAAAATAAAAATGTTTGTTCAGGATGCGAAGGTTGGTGTGTCTGAAGGAGTCGGAAGCAGAATCTCATGTAGGAACAAAGTGTCCAAGTGTCTTGAAAGGGGGTCTGCAGCGGTCTTCAGCAGCTGCGGTAGGTAGAAGTCCAAGAAGCGTAGTAGTAGTTCAAGTGTCAAGGTCCAAGTGCTAGGGTGCGTCCGGGTCCGGTACACGAACTGCAATGAGGTCTGATCTGGGAAGCAAGGAAGTCGCAGACTGATGCAAAGATCCATGTCACAAGTTGCTGCTCCAGTAAGTCCGCGAGTCGGGATGCCGGCCAATGAAACAGCATGGTGGCCAAACCAGCTGCATAATCTCCATGAACAGTGAGGTAGCAGGCCATCGTCCTCGTGCGCTTGCCATTAGATCCTTTATCGCCGGCGTCACGCAAGTTCACAAGCATTGGACAAGAGAGACAAGGTAGTGGAGAGGATAGATGGGGCAAGGCTAGGCGAGGGCAAGGGCAGATCAGACATCAGGAATGCGGATCAAGGGAAGGGTGGATTGGGTTCAAGGGTGTGTGTAGAGCAGGGTTGCAAGGGTTTTTTGCGGGGGTTTATGCCATAGTGATATAGGTATCTAGGACGTACGATTAGCACGATCATAAGCGCGGACAAGTTTCATGGCGTTCTTAAGATTAGAGAGAGGTTCCCATGTAGATTCTTCGTCGGGGTATCCGGTCCATTTGACTTTGTATTCAGTGATTGGTTCCGGATGATCAAATACCTGAGTGGTTCGTCGGCCGATGATGGTTTCGACAACGAATTCAGGGTCTGTGGGTAGCATGATTGGTGGAGGTCTAGGATATGGGCGGTCGGCGAACTGGAGCGGGGATTCATGGCATTCTTTTAGGTACTCGACATGGAAGACTGGGTGGACACGACTCATGTCAGGGGGGAGTTGGAGTTTGTAGTTGACGGGGGAGGTTTGTTCAATGATGGGGAAGGGACCGAGCCACTTGTTCGAGAGTTTCTTGGACAAGCCTTGTTCGGGTTCAAAGCGTTTGGCAGAAAGTCGGACTTTGTCCCCTACTTTGAATGACACGTCACGTCTGTGTTTGTTAGTCTTGTTGGCTTGTTGTTCTTGTGTTCTTTCAAGGGCTTCGGTTGCTTCTCTGAGGAGTTTGTTCATCGTTCCTATCCATTCATTGAGAGAGGGGCAAGGGGTGGAGGGGATGAGTTGCGACGGAAGCAAGAAATCAGAGCGCAAGCGGGATGGTAGCCAAGTTCGAGGTAGAAAGGGGACATGCCAGTGGAGGGGCAGACAACATTGTTGTAGGCAATTTTGGCGGCTGTGAGCAACTGATCCCAATCATGTTGGTGTGGATGACAATACTTCCGCAGGATTCTTTGGAGTGTATCGTTCATCTTCTCTGTTTGTCCATCGGTCTGTGGGTGGAATGCAGTGCTATACTTGAGCGTGGTTCCGTAGGCCGTGAAGAGGTGTTTCCAGAATTGTGAGAGGAAGCGAGGATCACGGTCACTRATGATGTTCTCGGGGAGGCCGTGATGGCGAGCAACATGGTCGAAGAAGAGTGTGGTGACGTCTTTGGCACTGTGCGAGGTCGTGCAAGGGATGAAGTGGGCACGTTTGGTCAAGCGGCAGACAATGACGTAGATGCAATCATGCCCACGGTCGGTCTTGGGGAGGCCGCACACGAAGTCCATGGAGATGGACTGCCACCGGTGAGTTGGGATGGGCAATGATTGGAGCTTGCCGGGTTTGGCTCGGTTCAAGGGGTTGACAGCTTAACACGTGGGGCACGAGCGAATGTATGCCTTAACGTCGACGAGTAGAGAAGGCCAGTAGAAGTAGCGGGACATGGAGTCGAAGGTCTTCTGAAAACCGAGATGTCCTACGGTCTTGGCGTCGTGGTGCTCGGTCAACAGCTGAGTACGGAGGCCTCGTGCGTCGGGGATGCAAAGTCGGCGAGTGCCTTTGGTATCGATGTAGAGGAGATTGTTGTGAAGGGAGTAGTCGGGAACTGAGTCAAGATCGCGGAGCTTGTTGTAAATGGTGGCGAAGTCTGGGCAGGAGAGATAGCCTTGGGTGTATTGATGATGAACCGATGGAAGGAGTTGAATATGAGTCATGGTGGCGTAGACTTTCTCGGGGGGCTTGTGGTCGGGTCGTCGCGAGAGGGCATCGGCAACGCTGTTGCTTTTGCCGGGGGTATGGCAAATGGTGAATGTGAACTGGGCAAGGAAGTCTAGCCAGCGGGCTTGGCGTGGAGTGATATCTTTCTTGGAGAGGATGGAGGAGATGATGGTGTTGTCAGTGCGGATGGTGAAGTATTGCCCGTCGAGGTACGGGCGCCAGACTGTRAGGGCGTGAATCACGGCGAGGAGTTCCTTCTCATTGGAGGGGTAATTCATCTCCGCGGGAAGGAGCTTCTTGCTTGCGAAGGCGATAGGGTATTCGGCAGGTGGAGCCTCGGGGTGAGTGGGCGAGTCCTTGATGGAGGGGGTCTCGGCGGTGTCGCGGGGGAAATGTTGGGACAGTACGGCTCCGATGGCGAAGTCGGAGGCGTCAGTGGTGACATAGAAATGGCGAGTGGGGTCGGCGATCTTGAGGACAGGGGCCGTGGTGATGGTTTGCTTGAGTAAGTCGAAAGYTTGTTGGCGGCGATCGTTCCAATGGAAAGGCTCGTCCTTGCGGGTGAGTTCGTGGAGAGGGTACGAGATCTCGGAAAAGTTGCGAATGAACGGGCGGTAATAGTTGGCAAGGCCAAGGAAGGAACGGAGTTGGAGGAGGATCTTGGGTGGGGGGTACTCGACGAGGGCTGTGACCTTTGAGGGGTCCATACGGATGCATTTGGAGAAGGTGCTAGTGGATGCATTTGGAGGAAGGGTAGAGGAGCATGAGGCAGTGGGAGGTGTTTGCGATGCCTGGGAATCGTCCGGTGGAGGGGGTGTCGCCGGAGAGGGTGAAGGCAAACGAATTGTCGATGTCAGATGGGCCATCGGTGCGACGAAGGATGTCACHGATGGGTAGGCTGACAGATGCAATATTGATGTCAGGTCAGTATCCTGGGGACTGTGTTCATGATGAGGAGGGGCCCGCGCTTGCCGAGGGTGGTGATGCGGAGGTTGCGGGTCGCGTGGAGGCGGACTGACGGGTGAATCGTGCGGCGTTGGGGCAGTTGGTTTGTTGGTGCCCCAATTGGCGACAACGGAAGCAACCCCCTTTTGCTTGGAGGTAGGTGCGCTCCTCGGGGGTGAGTTTCTTGAGGCGGGAGGGTGGGGTAGATGAGGGTGGTCGGGAGCTGCGATCTCTGCGCTCCATTCTCATGAACTGGACGACATCGAGTTCCTCGGAAGTGAGGGATGAAGAGTCKARTGAATCGAAAGATGCRTCGGGGTCAGATGTGGTGAACTCGTCTGAGGAAGTGATGGAGGTGGTGTCTTCGGGGGTRATGTGGTGGAAAAAGCGGGTGCGGGAGGTGCCGGGGGGGGCCTGGTGGTGGGGGTGGAGGAGTCGATCGTGGTGGAGCATGCGAGAGAGGAGGTCAGCAAGAGGCATGTCGGGTTCGTGGGCGAGGGCAGTAGCAAGGTCTTTGTGGCATACTCGTTTGATGCGGGAGATGAACGCACAGTCGGGAATGACGGTGTGGGGGAGGTGGTGTCGGAGGGAGCGGACGTATTGGACGAAGCGGTCCGTGGGACCGGTCTAGCGGAGGTGGCAGAATTGTTCAAGGTAGTCGTCAATGGTTTTCTGGGGGCRGAAGGTGGCAGTGAGGAGGGTGGCCCATTGGAGGAAGGTGGGGCGTGGTCCTCCGGAGGCTCGGCGGTTRCTGGCTTCAGCCATCCACCATTTGGCTGGATTGCCGAGGAGGCGGGAGGTGGCAATGGAGAGTCAGTGGGCAAGGGGCATGTGGTGGAGTTGAAAAGAGTTCTGAAGCTGGGTTAGGAAGAGGAAAACGTCCTCGTGGGGGAGGCCGGAGAAGGACATGATTTCGCCACATCGGAAGGAATGGGGGATTTCCCCGTCGCGGTGAACGATCTGCGCGAAGGTGTTGAAGCTGAGGTTATCTAGGGCGGTGTCGTAGCAGGTGTGGTTGATTTGGTTGTTGTCCTCAAGGAGGTAGTTGGGTGGAAGTTGTGGCATTGCGGGGAAAGCCCCGGAGGTGACTTGGGAATAGGTGGGACGGATGGTGGGAATGGTGGAGGTGGTCATGATGGGTTGGGAGAGGGTTTGGGAGTGCGGGGGGGGGAAGAGGAGTGACTTTGATGGGCGAGGAATGAGGCGGTGTGCTGGATGTGCCGGATGAGGGAGGAGGTGGAGGGAACGGAACGATGGTGGGGATTGAAGGGTTGGTGGATATGGCGGTAGAGGTGGTAGGAGTGGAGGAGGTCGGCGGGGGGGTGTTGCTAGA